AACCCCAGGTCCAGGTGCCTCCAGCAAAGCGGGCTAAGGTGTTGATACCGTGGCGGCAGAGCCACTCGTCAGAGGTGCCTGCCCTCCAAGAGTTACCGCAGCCTGTGCGGACGCCTGCAGTTCAGAAGAAGTTGAGAGAATTGTTCAAGTTAGCCTCTGAGCACTTCCTTGATTTCGCTGCATTGGGGCTGGATCGTGTTGATTGGTCCGACGAGCAAAGTGTGACTGCAGCCGAGACGTTGGTCATGTCGTCAGCTAGCCAATGTAGTGCTGGACACTTAGGCCAGGTCACCTCTTGTCTCCGCCGGTGGATCAGGATGGCCAGTGAGCAGAATGTCTCCTTGTCTAACCCTAGTCCGGCCCAGTTAGCCGCCTTCTTGCGCAAAGGGCCCACAGCAGCCAGTGGAGTATTTTCAGCTTTGGCTTGGTGTAATAAGCATCTGGGTGCGTTGTTTCCTTTGGATAGCTTTCTTACCAGGCCGTACCGCTGTCATGCCCAGGGCCACAGGAGCAAGCAGGCACCGGAGCTGCAACCTTGGGAGCTCGTTGACATCCTGGCAGTGACTGCAGGCTTGACGGGCGTGGCTCAAGTGATTGGTGCATTCATCCTTGCTAGTGCGGTGTCTTTCATAAGGTTTCGGCATTTCCAAAGGTCTACCTTTGTGCGTAAGCACGCGGGGCCACCGATGTGGCTGGAGTTCAGGTGCTCCAAGGGCAAGTCGCGTGTCAAGGGTGCCAGGCCCTCCTACAACTGGGCGCTGCCAGAAATGTGTTTGGAGGGGTTCAGCTTGTGTGGCTTCCTTCTTAAGTACTTTGAGGATCCTACTTATGGCCTGCCCTTGACCTCAGATCCGCAGATCTGTGGCAGCTTTCGGACACCACCAATTTTGTCAACCGCCGCATGTCGCGAGGCCAATTCTTGCAATGCTTCCGAGGATTTTTGTGTCGTGCCTTGGTAGCCCCGGATGAGGCTGCCACAGCCGGGTACAACAGACTGCGACGCTGCATGCCAACAGGGGGTCATCACCTGGGTTTTGATGATGCTGATGCTCAGGCTATCGGGTCATGGACCGAGCTGCCTTCTTCTGGTGCTGCTTCTCAGCGCAGGGTGAGCCGTCCTATGTCCCGACATTATGCAGGTGATAAGATTCACACTAGCTGGCTTGCCAAGCAGAAGGTTGTGGATGCTGTCATGCGAACATTCAAGTCAGGTTCTTGGCCCCGTGCTGAGGGGGAGCGCTTGCTTAAACCAGGTTGCATTTTGTGGCCTCATGTGGGCCAGATCGCACCCATGAGCGAGCATGTGAGGGGCTAGCCGGCTCTTCTGGCGTTGCCCGATGAAGGTGACACCTCCTCGGAGACTTCCTCACCTCGTGTCAGGAGCCCCTCGGTGTCGAGCTGTGTCGCGGACGAGGAGACGGAGTTTGAGTGGTTACTTCAGGGCAGCAAGCGGCATGTCATTCAGGAGTTGGATGCGTGCAACAGGCCTGTTTTTTGGTGCCGCGATAGCGCTTTTGTACAAGATGCCGCGTCCAGGGGCACAGGTGTGGATAGGACTGCCCGCGCACTTTGGTGCGTCCGCTGCCTGGGCCGAATGCCGGGCCCGCAGGCAAAGCATTTGCGTAGCCAGCTCGAGTAAAACCGTGCTGTGCCACCTTGTTGGACCACGGGACTTGTGCTGTGCTTGAGCGACAGTCTTTGATGCTTGCATTTTAGCTTTTATCTCGAGGGTCTTTGCTCCCCCAACTCCTTTTGCACTTACCAGTCTGGTCTTGGGCCATGGACCCGGATGGCATGACCACTGACCAGCTTCGGCGTTGGGCCGAGGCCATGAGCACGGTGGGCTTGCAGCAACTCATTCAGCTGCTGCAAGAGGAGTTGCAGCGCCGAGCGCAGCCAATGATCCCCATGCCTGGAATGCTCCTAGCATGCTGACTTCGATGCAGAGTTCTTCGGCTGCTTCAGGGAGTGCCCGCGTCGACCCGCCACCGCCGTCCTTTCCTTCACGATCGCTGCCAGGGCCCACTGTTCGTCAGAAATGTCGAGTGCCGTGTGGTAACACAGCTTGTCACCGCCTGTGCAAGCGATCCGGGGGACACCATGATCACTTCTGCCGACCATGCCATGATGCTGGCTGGAACTGAGCATTAGGGTGACCTTTGTGCTCTGTGTGCCAGGCCAGGGCACCCGAGCTCGAGTTTTGCAGCGGAGGGCGGTCGAGCCTGGAGCTATAAGATTAGGAGGCGCTGTCGTGCTTGCATGTGTGAGCTGGAGCAGTTTGAGGGCCCTCCCACCAGGTTCCGGTAGGCAGCTTAGCGCTCTGCTATGGCACTCTCCTCCCTTGTCGATGTCGAGGCGAGCGATCGGGGTTTGCAATCGTGCTTCAAGGCGGCCAATGTTCAGGATGATTGGGCTGCTGCGTTTGTCAAGTTGCACCGTCCCACGTCCCTTGAAGATTTCATTTACTTGGTGAATTCTGAGAAGTGGGAAAGCTCCTTCCAGGGTCTCCTTGCTGCAGTGCCGGAGATCAAGGACTCCAGACTGATTCTGGCACGATTTAAGAGCGCTTACAAAGCTGGGTTGGAGGCCCTTCTGGCCCTCAAGCAAGTGCACGTGGGTTCTGTGGAGGAGCTCGAGCAACCAATCCCTGAAGGCCGGCTCTCGCAACTCCAGCGTGATTGGCAGGCGACATACCACCTGACGCTGGATCCACATCTTGAACCTTCAGACAGTTTGAGGGGCCGTGTGTGGCGAGAATTCTCGAAGCGGAGTATGTCAGTTATTGAGATTAAGCGTATCAAGAGCTTTTTGGCCCAGAGTGCGCCTGCATCCAGCGAGACCGTCAAGCTGCAGGACACGTCTCGGGGGGCCCTCAGCCTTTCCTTCGCTCGGGAGCTCGATGCCCCTGTCCCTGTGCGTGATGTGGTCACGTACTACTTTGCAATTCGAGTGCTGGCCAATGCCTGGGCCTTCGCTGGCAACTTTACGGCTAAGGGTGTCGACGGGAAGGAAGACCGTTTCTTTACCCTCGCAACCGGCCTGGACTATGCTGACAGCTGCTTGAGGGAAGGGTCGGTGGCATGGCTATCTCTTGACTCGGGGCCTCATGGCCTCAAAGATCCGCAGAGGATACCTTGCTGATCATGCGTTGAAGGAAGCTCTCGCGGAATGTCACCTTGAGTGGAGGGCTCCGAGTCCGGGGTCGCTGCGTGAGCATACACCTGAGAAGCGCCAGGCTAGCGGCTACGGAGCTGGATGTGGGCACTCCGTCTCCACCCTCCAAAGGCGCGCGCCTACAGACCATCACCATGCTCAAGGGCGGCCTCCGGGTATGCAAAGCATTCAACGATGCCAGAGGCTGCAGAGATCGCAAGTGCCCACACGCGCACGTGTGTGATGTCAAGAACTGCGGTTCCAAGGATCACAACCGTCTGAATCACCTTGAGCAGGCCTGACTACCTGCGGGGCAGGCCCCGTTGTGCACTCCTGCTAAGATGCCTGATTTGTCTTCCCCAGAGTTGGATGCTGGTGAGGACCCCGCCATGCAGGAGGCCACTTAATTTTCACCGTTTTCGGAGGCCCCTAAACGTTGTGGGGACTCTTCAGATTCGCAGTCGCAAGGGTGTCGCCGCGCTGAGGAGTGTTTCCTTGCTCGAGCCGACTGAGACCCCGCCGGGTGTTTTGGAGACCACCGGTAGGGATAACTGCCGTTCTACTTTTGTGCATGAGGGTAGTGCTGAGCTGCCTTCCAGTGCTGAGGATTTGGCGATTTCGGCACTCGAGCGGCACGACTTTTCCGAGAGCACTTGCCTTCAAATTTTGCAATCAGCTTTTCAGCATCCTGTGCAGAACCGTCGTGGTGTCACACTGGGCAGTGCTCCCCAAACTGATTGCTTCTGTGTGGGCCTCTTCCACTTCGGGGGTTAACTTCCCAAGTGTGGTGCGGTACCTGAACGCTTTTCTTGCAAGCCTGGCTCCTGAGGCTACTTGGCTCGCGCTGGCTATCTCGGCCAATGTGCCCACTGCTGTGCACGGGGACGGTAAGAATGAGCTGACTTCAGTCAACATTCTTGTCTCGCTAGGGCAGAGTAGTGGAGGGGGTCTTTGGGGCTGCTCAGGATGGATGCGCGTATCGGAGTCACCCTGTGAGTGGCGAGTCGATCCGAGGCACCGTGCATGAGTCACACATGCACATGCAGGCCATATGCTTCTCGCCTCACACCTGGCATGCCAGCGACGCGGGGAGCTGCCTCTGGTGGGGGAAAGGGGCTGAGGTCCCGCCTTTCGGGTTTAGGCTTCCCTGCTGGTTGACCCCCCTAGGCCCGAGTTGTCCCTGCCGCCCGAACCTCCTGCACCACGGCGAGTCACTTTTCAGTCTGAGCATCTGAGGTGCAGGACCGTCTCTCAAGGTGGCACGCAAAAAGCAAGAAGACCTGTCATCCCCAGTACCCGACTCTGTTGCCTCTCAATCGGCTGCTGCTAGGCCGGTCACATGGAGGGGCAATGGCGAGCTCTTGCAAGTCGCCTGGGCCCGACCACCCAAGGGCACGTGGCTGGTCGTTGATCTGTGGGCTGGGATGAGCTGTTTGTGTCTTGCCATGCTGTCACTTGGGTGCAACTTCCATGCACTTGCCGCTGAGAGGGACCCGGTGGCCAGAAACTGCGCCAGGGCTGTCATGCCCAGTATTGTTCATGTCGAAAACGTTGAGGATGTTTCCGTGTCAATGCTTTTGCCATTCCTGGCTCGCCGAAATGTCCGAGGCATCCTGGTGGGAGGCGGCTCGCCATGTCAGGGAAACTCTGCTCTCAACAGGAACCGTCGTGGGCTGTCTGATGAGAGATCCATGCAACCAGCCTTTTTGGCCTCCCTTGTGAACGATCTCCGCAAACATGCCGCTACTAAGGGCATTGAGATCTTCGGTTTTCTTGAGAATGTTGCCTCTGCCCCAGCTGATGTTTTGTCTCGCTATAGTGAGTGGATGCAAGTACCACCCATCCTGATGGATGCCGCCTCTTGCGGATGGGTGGCGCGGCGCCGTGCCTGCTGGTTGTCTAGCCGCAAAGGGGATTTGTTGCCACAAAATACCCCGCCTGAGGAGTGGGGCTGGGCTACATGTGAGCCCCCATTCTGCGGACAGTTGCTGTTCAAAGGTTCCAAGCCGGTGCCTCCTAGGGTTTTCTTTGAACAGGGCTTCAAGCCCCTTTGGAGCCCTGGTGATGTCTTACGGGGGCTTGCCAAGCCCTTCTTTGTTTTTACCCGGGAATTCTTTCATCCGCTCGATCAGTGCCAGGGATCGTCGGCAGCTGCGGTCCAACGTTTTCATGCTGACTCCCGCAGATTCCCAGCTGCAGCATATGAAGAGGCTAGCCTCTTGTGGCGCCAATCCGAGTGGCGGGTGCCGGCACCGGACGAAAGATCCATGATGATGGGTGATGGGTATCCCGCGGGCGTCAACAGCTGGGGTTCAGTTGCCCGAGCCCCAAAAGTCTCAAGCCCGCAACAACATGATTGGCAATGGTTTCCACCTGCCGTGCGTTATGTGCTTGTTGTGCATGATGATTTCCATCTGCGAGTCTAAGCCGGTCCTGTCACATTTCAGCCCTAAGGACGAATTGGCCGCAAGACTTCAACATACCTTGTGGGAACCGGGGTATCTTGAAACCTTCCCGGAGCTCTTAGGAGCCAGGGAGGTTGTCAATCTCCTGAGGCTTCAGTTTGATCGTGTTGTCATTCCGGAGAATGTGTGGGCACTTACGGGTCAGAATCTTGAGTGCTGCAACTTGCGGTTGCCCCAGGCCTTTGCAGCTTTCCAGCGTGGCCGGGGCCAGCAGTGGCACCACTTGCCACCGAGACCGTTGCTTGCTCGTGATCGCGCCGAAATCTTTGCTGGTAATTCTGGCCAGCGCTATGCTTCTGATACCAGTAAAGGCCTTGATCACTTGCTCCCTCCAGGACTTGGCAAATCTGCTCACATGTCAGAGGCTATGCGCTTGCCCTCTCCATTTGCTGCCAAGCCCTGGCCTGAAGCGGACATCAGCTTCTTGAATGAGACGTTGCGTGTTTGGGGCCCAGATCTACCGTTGCTAGCCCAGCGCCAACGATCTCTTTTGAAGCAGATTTCTTTGGCTGTTGAACCCCTTAATAGTGCCCTTGCCCCCTTTCGGTGTGCTTCGGCGGTTAAGGTAGCCCCTGCCAAGAACCCTGCCTTCATTGCTGTTGTGACTGCCTTGCTGAGATGGCCAGACCTTACTCAGGCCCAGTCTTTCCTCTTCGGTTTACCCATAGTGGGTGATGTGCCTTTCTCAGGGGTCTTTCGCAATATCCACGAGGCTGCCCATGATGTGGAGGAGCCTTCAGCGTGGCTTGAACGTGAGGGGTCGCAGGTCGTTGATGACCTCCTCACTGAGGGACCGCCCAAGGATCATGATGTCATTTTGCGTGTGACTGAGGAGGAGATACAAAAGGGTTTCTGCAGCCCCTTGATGACCAGGGGGAAACCGACAGACTCTTCGGCCATGGGAAGTGGCGGCCCTTGGAACGCTTCGTCATTTCCCAGCCGGATGGCAAGCAAAGGGTCATCGACAATGCTCGCAAGACAGGACACAATGCGCACACACAAATGCTCGAGACTATACATACGGTTAGCGTGGACTTTGTTGCAAGTTGCTCTCGTGATGCCCTGCATACGCTCTTTGCGGGCAACCACGACCTGTCTCCACCGGCCTGTGACTGGCTGCTGCTGCTGCGCTTGGGTACAGATGATCTTCCAGATGCTTACCGGGGACATCCAGTTGCAGAAGAACACTTACGCTTCAGTGTCATATCAGTATGGGTCCCCGGCTGCGGTTGGCGCTTCTCGGTTCTGTGGGGGCTCGCTTATGGACTTGAGGCTGCAGTTGTGGCATTCAACCGCTTGCCTCTTCTGGGCATCGCTGCCTGCCGCCGCATGGCTTCATCCTTTTGTGCGGCCTACTTCGATGATGAGTTGTCTCTGGAGTTTGTTCGTGATGCCGATGTCTCCCAACGGGGGCTGCACTTGGTATTCGGCTTGATGGGCTCACCACCTCAACCTGCCAAACGCTTTTGGGCAGCTGCTAATCGTTGTTATCTGGGCACATCTGTTCATGTCGGTCAGGCATGCTCCGAGGGCACGATTCGTGTGCAGCCTAAGACTTCCTCGGTCCAGAAGGTGGTGGCGAAGCTGGGCGCGGCTCTGGAGTCCAAGAGACTGTCCAGAGATGAAGCGGGCAAACTGCGTGGTGATGTGCAGTGGCTCTTCGCTAGCTGCCATGGGGCTTGGGCTCGTTTCGCTGGGCCTGTGCTCCAAAGGTGCCAGTATGGCGACGATCCCGTGCTTGCGGAGCGAGATCTTCTCGTTCTTTCGGCACTCCGCTCCATGGCGCAGATGGCTCGGCCAAGGGATATCGAAGTTTGGTCGCCACCTCCTCCGTGCATGCTCATCTACACGGATGCTTCCTTTGAAGATGATCAGCTTAGACTGGGGTGGGTCATTTTTGCCCCGCCGCCCTACAAACCTCTGGGCGGTACCTGCGCAGTGCCTCCCCAGGTGGTGCGTGAATGGCTGCCGCGACGCCAGCAGATCTTTCCTGGTGAGGCACTTTGTCTGCTCATTCTGCCGCTGCTGTACCCTCACGTCCTGGAGGGGCATGACCTGTTGTGGTTCATCGACAATGCAGCGGCGGTCTCTGCGGCGGTCAAAGCTGCCAGTGCGCAGGAGGATGTCTTTGAGATTGTTCACATGGCATGCCTCCTGAGAGCCCGCCTAGGCTGTAGATCCTGGTTCGAGTGGGTGGGTTCGGATAGCAACCCCAGTGACGGATTATCCAGACTTGGCATTGCCAACATCTGGACATGTGGCCAACCATGGTGGCTGGAAGAGGTCGGTTTTCCGCCAAAGGCCTTCCGGTCTACGCTGCGCACCGCCCTGCTGAGAGTGTGAAACAGTGGGTATGGGAACGTTGGGTAGAATCCTTCGGGAACCCTTCGTCTGGTTTTCCGAGATTCTTGCTTCGTCTCAGGTGTTTCTCATCCGAACTGATCACCTGTCGAACCCACTGTCTTGGACAGTGAGTAGCCACTGTTTCATTCATGATGCCATTGATAGTTCTTCTGTGCAGAAACGTAGGTTGGTTGGGAAGGGCCCTTTCTGCGACCTGAACTTGTCAGGCATCCATTCCTGTAGCTTCTGGGCCCGAGGTCCCCAGTAGCTCAGGACTTTTCTTTCCCCTCCCGCCCTACCCTTTTTGCCTCCGCGGTGATTTGGGGTCAGGGACTTCTGGCACAACTTTGTTGTTGCGGAGGGTACTGTCCACTCCTCAATCTTCTTCAGATGCGAGGTTGTGCGAGCTACGGGGTAGAATCCTTCGGGAACCCTTCGTCTGGTTTTCCGAGATTCTTGCTTCGTCTCAGGTGTTTCTCATCCGAACTGATCACCTGTCGAACCCACTGTCTTGGACAGTGAGTAGCCACTGTTTCATTCATGATGCCATTGATAGTTCCACCCGTAAGTTCTTCCCATCGGTAACCTTCGCATTGGACCGGATATGTCCAACAGCAACCCAAATTATGGCCCAAGGAAAGACCCCGACACCAACCGGTTAATTAATTCAGATGTAGGTGTGGTATCCCTAGCATGAGCATTCAAGTTCCCGAAGTTAAAAGTCATGGCATCCCCAATACCAATTACTATGTTATAAACCCCTGCATTTTCTGTCTGTGGAGCCTGGCAACTTTAAATTAAGATCATGTTTCTTCTATATGTGATTAGAGCTTTTGTCCAATAGGGAGCCTAAACCAATGAACTATTTAACAAATACGCTTGTTCCATAACACTGGCCCAATACATTATATCATCAAACCAATCCTTTTGTCCCATACCAATAAACCAATAAATCATTAAACCAACCCTTTTGCCCCTAATGAACCTAGACCCATCCCTAAACCATTAACCCAATGATTTCCCCAATGAGCCTAACATACCAATACACAAGCCGAAAGGTTGGTTTAAGGGCCTTTTGGTTTAGGCATCCGGTGCCTCATAGGCCAAGTGGTTCAAAGGCTTCATGGCTTAATGATTTATTGGTTTAGGCCTCGCATGCTCTATAGGCCATTGGTTTAATGGTTTAGGTTTTGTGCCTTATGATTACGGGCCAAATGAACTGGCTTGATGGTTTAACTGTTCAATGGTTTGATGGTGGGTCAAATGACTTCCTACTACACAGCAATCTTGGTTAACCAGAGACACAGGTTATCACCAGGGCACAGAAGACATTCATAGTTTGAAGACGTTTTCTGTTGGTTTATTGGTTTCGGGCCTACCCGTAATATTGGTAAACTGTTTGGAAACGGCGGGGGGTCTATAAACCAGGGTTGTGGTTGGTCAACTTGGGGTGCCTTCATTGTCCCGCTACACAATAAACCTTACGAAGCAAATATGTTTCATCGCTACTTCATCAACACCTAAATCCACATGTTTAAGAGCTTCGGTGTTTCAGGAGGAATGCAACCGCAATGAAGTTAAGCACGGACTAGAAGAGCAAGTAGATGGTCCTAGTTATTCGGAATTTATTCGATGTTTTTTGGGGCATGATGCAGTGCTGTGTAACAAGCATAATTCCCGGGACCATATGCATGTTCCCGCGACTTTAGCGGAAAAGCCACATAGCGGACTTGTCATAATGGTCTGGCCATTCCAGTACATCGGGCTTAAAAGAAAATTCCAACCTATGTAATACTTTGCGGATAGCCGCTTACGTGTTACTCACCCAGGAATCAACATGCAAAATGTAACATGACTCCTTACGGGAGTACCGTAAGTCAGTAAGTGTTGTCAACATCGGGATACCAAGCTACACATCAAGTTGCGCAACGACTGTTAAGATTTCATTGTAAGGAGAGACACTACGTTACAGCGTGGTCAGGGTTCATCTGTTGATACATAGACGAGCTGGTTGCAACGCTATGTTCAAACATCATTCCACGGAAGCAGGATTTCGATGAGACAAGACTGATAAGAATATGTGTGGCGAGTGAAACAACATTTGCAGCCTACAAAACGTCGGGTCTCCTGCCTTGGTACGTAAAAAGATCCTAACAGCGGATGAGCTCTATTGCGAGGAGTGATTCAGTGTGGTTTACTACTTCTTTTTGTCGCGAGCAATCACGTCCTGGCCTGGGAGACTGGCTTCTTCTATCTTCTAATCGGGCTCCAGCAGATGCTCACAAGAACACAAACATAAATTCGTGCAAGCTAGATGAGGCCTCATGGTTTTCAGCCACTCTCCATGTGATGGTGAAGGTATGCTGAACAAAAAGCAAGTTTTCATCACTCGGTATATAGAAACAATGCTAAGTCTAAGAAGCGACGCTTCATGTTGTGCCCCAGGGAAACAGTATACAACGTTTGCCAACTTGTAATATGCCGGTTTTTAGTTTTAGGTAAGCGCAGTCATCATACAAAATTAAGGAATGCAACACCCAAATATACCGATTTACCAGCGCTTGACAGCCATCACAATGGGGAACGGGGCACGGAGATATGTTAGTCAGAGCATGTGAGAGCTACATGTAGCCAAAACTCCATTGCAATGCTTCCAAAACAGAGACTTACGGCATTGCAGTACAAATATGGAAAACTTGTATTTCCAAAATCTTTTTCGCCACAATAAGGCATGACTGAGCCAGACTAATGATTTCAGCGCATTTGTTGGAAAATTGTATGTGCAGAGGTGTAGAGACAGTCTTCAAGGCAAGCAGTGGTGCACATTGTAACAGGGTTTCGACGAGGTTGTTGTAGAATTCATAACATTGTGCGGGTTTCAGCGGGTCAGCATTCTGACAGCATGGGTTGTTAGAACTCTAGGTGCCAGCAACCAGGATTTGCAGCTTCCTGGGTTTGTTTCGACACTAGCTTTGCAGAGGTGATGAGGTGAGGAACGCAACGAAATCGTGCCGCCACTTGTAGGGGGATGGTACGTGAAATGGTAGACGTGATATGCATGCTAGTACTAAACTACACAAAACGAATGCCATTCAGAACCACGATACTTGCAGTCTTCGCTCTGGCTTTGATGGTCCTCAGAGTTTTAGGGATGGGAAAAGCGTTTGTTTGTTTACCTTAACATAGTGTGTATGGCACCCCTTTTTCACTGTCTTATATGATTATGTCGGACTTGCTGTCGGACTTGCCTGTATACGGGTAGGTACATATACGTGTGCATATACACATACTAACCCTCAGGTTAAACCTGTAGCAGATGCCAACATAATGACCGATAGTGACGAGGATCGTTATCTGACTCCTGATTACATCAACCCCAATCCCATTCTTGTCATTCGCCCTTACGTCCATGGTGAAGGTAAGATTCTCCCTGACAGCAGCCCCAACGCCATCCAGAGTCGCCATAGCACCACCCATAATCTGACCCCGATGTTTCTCTTATTCAAAGTACAACCTTAGTCAGTTAGAAGAAATCGTAGTGGTAACTGCGATAACCCGGACATGCTAAGTCCTGTTCTGTGCAAAATCTGCAGTACTCGCTTTCTATTGACTTCAAAACTGATCCGAATAATGGTATGAACGCTGCGCGGAATCGAGTCCCAATAGTAATGGCGCTGGAACCTTCTTGGCGAATCTAATTCGCAACGCGCACCAACAACAAATTAAAACATACACATTGGTGGGAAAACTTAGGTCTTGCAATGAAATACAAACTGCTTGCTCGGAAAAGGTTGGTTTTGCATCGAAAACCCATGAAACAGATTGGCTTGGATCGGAAAACCAACTTTTCCTCGAAGAACCAAGAAACCATCTATCTGCATGTGTATCTGTTTATGATTGTTTATGTATATGTATATGGCTATGTGATGTTCATGCGGTGCTCTCTGTACTGTATCTCTCAGTAACACCACGACGTGGGCAGAATGTTTCATGCAGGGCATGGATGTCTTCGCGCTGGTCGAAGAGAGCGAATGCCGCTGCGGGGTCACCGCTGCAAACCGCGCCGAAGCAGCTGTGGTATGTAGCTAAGGGATGTGGCCAAACCGTCCACGTGCCTGGCACGGTCGTTACATGTAGCCGAGAGCAGACTGTTTGCTTGGGCTCGCAATCAAAATCGACTTTTTGCGTAGGCTCCGAATCACGTGAGGCAATCTTCGGCACCGCAAAGACGAGAATCCGCTACTGCAATTCCAGGTGCGACTTGGTCCAAGCTACTCCGGCTGCATGACGAGGGGGCATTCACTGAGGTAGCTGTTCTGGAGCCCTTCGAGCCCGAGAAAGGCATGTCGCCTGTGCGTGAAGGCTTTGCAAAGGCAATATTGTCACTCTCCCGAAACCCACCGGGCTGGCCTCCTAAGCCCTCCCGCCCTTGCGCGCAAGCCCGATGATGTTGCGAAGCAGGTGTGCTCTGTAAAATGTTCCTCAAATCCTGGGAATCATGGTCTCATCTGGCATCAGGCACCTGCCCGCTCCGTGCCTACCGCTACATCGGACACCTTGAAGCTGGAGGTCTGCCGCCTTCGACGCTTGACAGCATCTCAAACAAGATTTGGGTAAAGCCTGCCGATGGCCGATTGAACTTGTTTGGAAGAGGGTGCGGTTGATGTGCAACAACCGAAGTTTTCTGTGAAAGACATTTCCTGTTGTCAGGCATGAACAAGCTTCCACCGTACAGTAGTAGCTGTCTCAATGGATCTTCATGCGCAGTTTGCTTGGGGATAACAGAACTAGCTCGGTCGAGATGACGGATGAGACGCACACAGGACACCCTCAGCAGGTCAGATCGAGCCCATTCTAGGCACTGCTTCGATCACTTCATCTTGAGAAGTGTCCAGATTCAGCTGCACCCGGATCTGTTGCGAGGATGGTGACGGCTTCGGCAGGCGACGTCGAGTATGTGGACAGCGCTTCTCTGCTGATAAAGCTTGCGTTCCTGACTTCATGCACGATGGCAAGGATGTGCAAGAGCAGCTTTGTTAGACCCATGCCATGGCAACACGCCAGGTCTTTGCCGGGCATCAGCAGACTGCAGCTGAGGAGGGGTAAGCCTAAGCAGGTTGTTCTATATGCATTGCTCCAACAGTGCAGCTGACCGAAAAGCTGCTACAATGCCCAGGAGGATATGGGGGCTCCAGAGCTACAGGACCTGGAGAAATCCGCAGAGCAGGGGCAGTTGCGAGATCTGCCACTTGGCTGTGAGAAACAGGCCAGGCTGCAGGTCGCTGTGGCCCCGACTCGAACAAAGCCGTGCAGCAAGGTAAAACTACGGTGTGAATTTGGTTACTCGTACGTGGTTCTTTCGTGGACCTGCACCGTCAGGAAGCCAGACTGTCTGACTGCTCGTTAATGTTGTCGTCAAGAACGTGTCAAGAACCCAGTTGCCATTTGGGATGTGAGCCAGTGCCAAAGCTCTTGCGAGGCAGGACGACGGGGACGGCTCCGAGCCGCCGTGGGCGCGCGCCTGTTGCCGGCCTGCAAGCTTACCACCCGTAAAGACAAGCTCCAGCACCGTGCAGCGATCCCGAACCTGCCACAAAACTGAGGCTATCCTCACAATTGTGCCGTTGGTCGCGGACCTTGGCAGGACAGGGGTGACATGGACTATATGCTGCAACATCTGAGACACTCCAGCTAAAATCCATCAAGCTCTGCCAAATAAAGCCGAGCTCTGTGGCATTCCAACAGTACTCATGAGATGTTCTCTGTCTAGCTGCCTATCCGTTTCAAGCAAAGCAGTGCTTCCTTTTCTAGACATTTCTTGACTGTCTCAACTCATCACGTGCTCACATACCCAACAACTCCATGTTGTTGGGGCATGTTTGCCCCGAAGCCTATGTCGTGCAAGGGGTGAAAGCCCACTATTTTCTTGCCTGGCCTAAAACAAGGGTTATCCTTCACAACACATCTCAGCTTGAGAAAAAGGAGTAAAGCGCTCACAGTTTCGTGATGGATTGTCGAGTTCTAGTACTGGCAATTGATTCAGAGTGATCCTGATCCCATCCGCTCACGCACTGTTTGCAGGACCGCATAGACGAAGTGCCTGCAGGTGCCTGCCACAGCGCTTCGTGCCGGCTGGCAGTTTGGTCGATGGTACGTACTGTCAGACTTGATCTCTGAATGCATGGTTGCATCGAGGTGTCAATGACATCTGGGCAGACTATGTCATCGTGCCGTATGTGTTTGAACACGATGTTGACAATGCCCGCAAGGCATGCAGATTTCAGGGGACTTGCTGTTTTGAGATGGATTAGAAAATCCAGGAGCTGAGCACCTGGCAGGAAGCTTTCCGAGCAGCTGTTGTCCGCTGGCATGAGGGAACGTGCGTGGTGCTGAAGGAGGCCTGAGCCGAGCTGAGCCGAGCTGAGCCGAGGGAAGAGGTCGCTGGACACTTCTCTAAGCGCGAAGGTTTTGCAAATCCACGTCAGCCAGCCGTACATCCAGGCGCGCTTTCTCTCATTCAGTTCATCTTGCCCTGCTGGCATTTCTTCGAACCTGTCCTCGAACACTAAGCCTTTGCTCCGCTCAAATCCGCCATGGACAGCCCCAAACCCAAGGCTTGAAGCCTCGTACAAGCCAGCATTCTGCAATCCCCACTTGTTGTGGTCGGAACCCGGGTGTTCCGAACATCCCGCGATAGAGATTTACCAAGCTTTGCAAAGTTGCCTAGTGTGCAGAGACTTCGTTGCCCGAAGAGTTGTTAAAGTCGCGCCACCGCAGCCGTGACGGCCGGCTCTGGTGCAGCAAAGTGTGTGGAGCAGTGCAGACAGCTCATGCAGTGACAGTGATCTCGTTAGAAATCAAGAAGCACCGTTGATCGGTACGAATCTGCCTGGAGTCGACTTCGAGCCAGCAGAGATTCAGAATCTCGGAGCGTCGCACCGAGTCGCAGCTTCGAGTTTGCAGAAGCACAGGCTGAACGTCCACAACACTTGGAGCGCGCTTTCAAGCGCTCCACCTGCCGTATCCGGCTCCAGACTCCAGCCTTCTAAGCCTCGTTTGTTCACCACCCGACTTCGAAGCCAACCTGCACTCTGCCGCCATTGCGACATTGGCATGTAGCAACACGTGCTGCCACCCGATTAAAGAAACGGGACATGCTCGCTCTGCACAGCTCCCAAAAATGGAAGCTGACACTGAGTCACAAGGTTCGCACCGGTCGGTGATCCGTGTCATTGTTCACAGCTACAGATATCTCGCATGCCAGCTCAGAGAATGTGAGCGAACATGAGCGAACTAGGCCACCCCGTGACTACCCCAACTTCGCTGGTCATACTGCAGGTGGGCATCTACGACGAAAATACCTGCTGGTGCCAGGGACAGGGTTATCCCGGATATCGCAATGGGCAGCCGCGAGCCGTCCGGATCAATCTAGGCAAGGCGGCTACTGTAGAAGTCTTCTCTGGTTATGGGTAACTACCCAGCCAAACTACCAAAATCAAAAAATGCGAACGCTGCTTGAGTCTTGACAAACAGGCTGGTGCAACAGCCTTTTCTATGTGGGCAACATGGTCCACGAAATCGGCCATGCCCTGGGAATGAACCACGAGCAGCTCGGTCGAAGAGAGCGAGGGCCTTCTTCTGTCAGCGTCTGTCTTGCATCCAATCCCAGGCAGAAGCGCCCGGACGCCTATCAGAAGTTTCATGGCCACGGGCCCCACATCGTGGTGCATTGGGACAACATTGTCTCGGACTTACTGTTTTGTGTCGAGCAGCGACTGAACATACTGACCAGGTAGCGATTTGCTTCAGCGTCCTTTTCAGCCACAATTGCCTGTCCTTCCTAGGAGGCCGGCTGGAGGTCTCAGAAACCTGGCCGCAATGCCTTTTTGTCGGTCGAACTTTGAGTCAGCTTTGAGTCAGTGCCGTGTTCATGTCGGAACTCGGAAACAGTACTCAGGACATCGACCGTTAATTTGGGTTTAACTTTGCCGGTGCCCAGACGTCCCAGGTACACGCACAACCAACACACCTACACGGGATCGAACTACCAGGGAGTTGGCGACAGACGCTTGGAAGGGCGAAAGTTAGAGGTTTGAAGCCACAGTATTGTAGTCCTGGTCTTGAATGGGCATCTTTTTGCAGATGCATCGGCAGAGTGAATCTACAAGCAGCTATTACAAACGTTCTAAATTAGTTAAATTGCCCTTTGTCATGACAGATTTTTCTCGGGCTCTGTCCGAAGCTTTCTTCAGGGCTGTTCAGGGCTAGGCGCTTGCTCCGTGCGTGCTCGGCCTTGCAAGTTTCGCGTGGAGGCTTCCACGGCTACGCTCCTTACGATTATGCCGCTCGGACCAGGACCCAGGATATCCACGGCTACTGCACAGTAAAGACGTGACAGTTGCTGGTTGCTGAGAGCGCTTGGCCAATGCGCACCGTGACCCAGACCCGGTTACGGCCTAGTTCTCTAATCACAACAATGACACGAGATCACACGAGACGAATGAGGCATGTGGAGACGCGAACAAGAGAAGTGAGGCCGCCTCGATGGTGCAGAGGAGTGTAGTGTGATGGTGTTGCTCAGGAAAGCATCATGCACTACCCGTTGACGGACGCTTACGACCCCATTGAACCTGCCGTGGCGGTGCCTTTTCACGCGGTGCTTAAATGTAGCTACCAGTAGAACTCGTTAGAATTCGTTGGAGCCCTTCTTCTTTCCATCTCGGCAGTCCAAGGGCCTCCTGGGCAACCGTGAATACCTGTCAGAAGGTGACCTTACACAGATCAACGACATGTACCAGTGCAAGGACGGAGAGCGAAAGCGATGCGAGAGCTCAAGTGCTGTCTGCTTCACGGCAGACTGCCGTCAAGCGAATCGCAAGGAAAAGCTGGTCCGTGCAGTCACACTCAGATGCGCTTTTGAAGCGGATCTGTGCGATTGGCGGGATGTTGGCGACTCTGCAGAAGCTGCCCGACACAATTAGAAGCGGAGCCGACCTGGACGGAATTTTCCAGCGTCTTGCAGTCAGAGTGCCGACGAGATAAGACAATTAAGGCAAAGTGGCACGTTCACTCCGAAGCTTCAGATTCAGGACCGTCGGCACCAGGCAGGGGTTCTTCCCGGAAAACTGTATAATCTAGAAGCTGAGGCGGGCAACCCGTACTCTCAGCCTCTCAGGGATTCTCGGGGCTTTCTCCGCATCCCGATGAGCGAAGGAGGGCCCGGACGCGGTGCCGGGCAGACTTTAGGCTATGCATGGGCAGAGGCTCACCGTCAGTCGAAACGTGTGAAGAGAGATGTTGAGAGGTTTGCTTGCTTGCTTTCACTTTCGCTGCCTTTGGGGCCCGGGACAGGTTCTCCAGCATCCAGGGCAGGCGCTGCATGGATCCGCTGCATGGGGCTCTGGAAGTGGGGAGTTGGAGTTTCTTCTGAAAATTCTCAGAGCTTCTCAGTTTGTGTAACGAAGAGGCCAGGTTCTTCACGACCATCGTCGTGGGAGACAGTCTGTGAAAGCATGCTTCCTTCGCAGGCTTTCGTGCTGCAGAGCCCCTACCTCGATGTTACAAAGCATTACAAGCTTCGCTTCAACTTCTTCTCGTCCTTGGGGATGCTGGAGGTGGACTACCAGGCTCGGGGCTCGTGGCTGCTCAAACCTTCCAGCTTTTCGTCTTGCACACATCGCTCTGTCATTTACCACAGAATCCGGCTTTTGTGAAGCAGTTGCTATCTGCTACTGCCAGAATAATCTTAAGTGCATGAGCACTGAGGCTCTTCAGAACACGACTTTAACCATCGCCCAGTTTCGCAGGATGCTCTGGGCATGACCAAGAAGCTTTGGAGCAATCGCACGGCGTCGTCAGAGTGGACACTCAAGGAGCGACGGCTTCCAAAGCTTGGAGCAAGCATGGCAACGGCATTGCAATGTCGAGGTTCTGCATGCTAGACAAAGCAGCACCACAGCAAAGCATGAGCTACAAGGCCATTCATGCGAGCTATCAACCCCACTAAATCCGCAAAGCTTGTGAACCATGCATGCCTTACGAGCATCTTGGGTGACGAGAGTATCTTATCCTCTCAAGTTACGACTTTGTGACATTCTGCGACATTCCAAGCTCAGGGGCCGCAGTCTTCAAAGGCCGCGGATTGTCTAAGGAAGCTCAACAGCTGTCACAGCATGCATGCAGGTGCGTGGTTTTCTGTCTCCAGTCCGGGCATCCCATTTCCAGCATGTTTACGCTGCTCATGCGCAGCGTGTATGTGTTGCGTCGACCCTGCAAGATCAGCACTAGTTACTAGTTTCGGCATCATGTTCAAGGCCAATTGACATCATGCCGACTTTGGTGTAGGGTGACTTCAAAAATATGGCTAATTATGCACATCCCCCCCAATCATAAAATGGACAGGGCTTTGTCCCAGGTCTATGTGGCCAATATATCTGTCCAGTTTCAAAGTTTCCCTAAGATCTACCCCCGGCGGTACATTTGTCCATTTTCGTGGTTGGGGCCTTAGATAGCCACGCACGCGCACACTCGCGCATGACTTGTATAGGTAAACAAATAAATATACATATACATATACATATACATATACATATATGTATATGCATAAAGGTTTGTCTATATGGTCCGGGACCATGTCTTGGTAAAGTTTAGTGTTACCTGCCCCTATCTGTTTTGTATCAATGTCATGCAAGCTTCATAGATTCCATCTGTCAGTTGTCGCTGCTTAATTCCAGTCTTCTAATTATCGGTCTTGTGGGTAGGAATTAGGAGATCACTTTCGCGATCGTGTGAACAGCCGTGATTCGGTGATCTCCGTGGCCATTTTGGCGATAGCCGATCGGCCATACCGAAATTTCGGCGTGGGAGGAGAAGTCTAGATCGCTCGAGTGCAGCATTGTCGTTCCCTCCTGCGGGCCCTTATCAGGGACAGCAGCCGGCAGCTCCACAGTTCGGACTGCCCCGGAGGCTCCCCCAGGGCGAGAATCCTGGAAACTGGGGGTCCTATACCCCGAGCGAGGCGGAAGCTCCCGAGAACCCGGCGGCTCCTGCTGCTGCATCCGGCGGACTGGGGCTCAGGATGGGGGTCGCGACGATCGTCGTGGACGTCGTGACCGTGCAGCTCCAGCCGCTGACAATCCCTGCGCTGTTCAGCGACCGGAGTTCGTGCGGCAGATCGTGGTCGAGGAGGAGGATGAGACGAAGAATTCTCTCCTGGTCATCGACAATCGTGATGACAGGGTGATCCCCCTTTTCAAAACTGGCTGGCAGAAGAGATCATCTCAAATGCCCCCAGCTCGATCAACGTTCTGACCGAGCGGGCCCAGGTCATGCCCCCGAACTCGGCTACCACTGCTCGCTGTTCGCGAACTACACGCTCAATGGCATCAAGGCAGTTCTGCTCTTTACGATGACCTCGACGACGGGAGGTCCCTGTGCTCAATGGGACCCCTATGCAAGCCGGGCGCTATCGCACCCGGCATTCCAGTCTGTCACATGGCCCGTGATGTTCGACACCTCGGCCACCTATGTGGATGTGAAGGTCTTCAATGGAAATGAGGTCCTTTGACCATTGGGTGTTCCGAGGATACCGTTCGGACGCTGATCTCTCGGTGCAGCAGCAGTTCTGCGATGAGGTCCTGATCAGGACGGCCAACGAAGGATGGTTTCGACCGTCGATCGTCATCTCCGTCTTCTTGGGATGGAAGGTGTCGGTGACTTCGTTCGAAGTCGGAGCTCGAGTCTACACGATCGGCCCGAGAGGAGCGGTGATGGCAAGTGATCACGCCATGAGCAGTTGCGAGCTCCGAGTGACGGCTCGCTCCTCTCGGGAGGGCTATGGATGGGAACGATGCCGATCGGGTGGAGTTCCGGTTCCGAGATGCCAACAACCGGATTGACCTCAAGTGCGGGCGAACGTCCGTGACTGGAACTTGGCTCACTGTCAGCCATATCTCGGGCCCCGCGCTGATCAACACGATCCAGGCATGCCGGAGCGAACGCGCTCGAGTGGAAGGCCCGGATCACGTCGATATGAGTTCCCGTACGATGGCGGGAACTTCCATGTGAGGGCTCGCTCCAAGCAGGACACCGGTCCCATGATGAGACCAACGCCGTTCGAGCCCGCAATGGCCCTCCCTGGGCTGTTCAGCAGTTGGGCTCCTCGGCTACTTCGGCTATCACGAATATGCCTACCTCAGCTCAGCAGATGTTCGACCAGAGAGTGTCGACCGTGCACCCGCCAGCGGAGGGAGAGCTGGAGACCGATCAGGCCGAGGCAGTCCTCACGGAAGCACGCGATCGCATGCGGGCACACATGCACTTTTCGCGTTACGTCCGCTGCGATCACTCCGCAGGTCTTCACCGATGTGAGGCGGCGGAGTATGAGCGGATCAGCACCGTCAGGATGGAGGAGACTGGCCCAGAGATCGCGGCGGCAGCCTCCACTCCGACCTCCGTGCCGAAGGCGTTCGCCCCGGCCTCGTCAGTGGGCCCCTACACGATGGACAGCTCGGGAGTGGAGTAGGCGGCGATCGCCGCGCACGAGATCATTTTGCGGTCGGCGTTTTGTGCGTGGCTCCAGAAAGCGAGTTGTGCGCCGCTCCGGCCGGTAATATAACCGGCAGATTAGCCGGGCTCTTCCGCGGAACAAGCATGCCGAGCGATCCTCTCGGCGCGCTAGATGATCCCAGCGCAGTTCTGCGTGAAGTGTGATCATCATGCCCTGACTCAGGCACGGCGCTCGGTTGCCATTAGCAGGCACGTGTGATCGCGCTGGGCAGCTGTTCAGGCCAAGCATGGATAGGTCTGTTAGGAAGATCCTCTCCCTTCCTCTGTTCGGGGATGTTTTTTGCCAATGGTTGGTGGATCTTCGGATGGCTCAGTTCGAGAAGCTCTCGGCTGTTTCGGACGGGACGATCGCTGAGTGTGTGCAAGCGTTCGTTGAACTAGTTCCTGCCCTCGAGGAACTACACGCGCCAGCTCGGCGCAAGAACGAGGAGGAGCTCGGCAGGTTCGTAGTACGGCGGCAGCTGGATGGGCAGATTATTTGGCCACCGATCTGGGGTTTGGACAAGCTGAGGCTGCTTTGGCTCAGGGGCGATCACCCTGAAGTCGAGAGGGGGCGCCAGCAAACCGCTGGTGCCTCTTAGGCTCAAAGCGATCGTTGAGAGGTGCGGCGAGCACGCTGCGATCGCGGGCAACCCAAAACCGGGATCACCTCTGTAGATGAGTGCTCTGCGGGTGCTCGTCTTCGAAAGTGGAGGTTTCCGCACGATTCAGCAGTGCGTTCGCCACTGGGAGCGGATGGAGACATGGGCTCGCTCGCAGAACATTCAGCCAATTCCACTGACGACCGACGTGCTCGTCAAGTACTTGCTGAACTTCTTGCTGCGGCTCAGTAGGGAATGCAGGAATGAGTGAGCCTTTCGGCTTGACATCATGTTGGAAGAAAATCCTTTGTCAGCGGCTGGACAGAAACGTCCTGGGAGCAAAAGCAAAAGGAAAGAAAGAGAGCGAGAGCCAGAGAGAGAGAGAGAGAGAGAGAGAGAGAGAGTCCATGTTTGACAGAAGTGATGAGGTCCTACAAAGAGCCCGAGCGACTTTTGCTTTGTATGAAGTCTGTTTAATCAAAACTCAAGTTATCCTGTGGCAAAAGCATTTGTAACAATTCCTGTTTTTATTGACAAACATGACATGGAACCTTACAACTTCATTGAAGTTTTCGTGGCTTGGAGACTTTCACACGGCAGCAGCCTTTCAATCGAACATCTTTTTCTGATTTTTTTTGTAGCCAGTCCACGGTATCATGTTGGACAACATCAAAAACCAAACACAAATGAATGATGCTCTTACTCAATCTTCTCCCAATTGATCCTTGCGCCATCACGGCACATGGTTGTCGTCTGCGCCCTCACGGCACATTCGTGGATCGCTCGTCGTCTGCGCCATCACGGCACATGCGTCGTCGTCTGCGCCGTCACGGCACGATCAGCTCCTTGATCTTCTTGCCGGGCTTGCCTGCAGGACCCTGAAAAGAACGCGGGGTTCGGGACTTAAGGGCCTCAGGGCTAGAAGATTATATGCACTAACAGGGGTTTGGAGTCCGGGAGCGTGGGGTGCTCGGGCTTTTACCAGGGTTACGGTGTAGTCTTTCTAGCTGCTTTAGCCTCAGCCTGAAACATGCGAAGTATGTATGACACGCATGGTAAGGATCTAGCACTCACAAACTTTAAGGTTTTCGGCTGCTACAGTCTACTTTCTACATGGCGCGCATGTGCATGTTGCAGGTGCAGAAGCGCACACAGAAATAACAAAAACAATCAAGTGGCTCATGATTTGATTTGTGTCTGAGTTTTGATGTTGCCTGCCAAGGATGATGTCCTGGTCTTGTCTTCGAGTTGAAAACAATAACTTCAAGAACACACAAACAAAATCAAGTGGCTCATGAATTCATTTGTGTTTGGTTTTTGATGTTGTCCAACATGATACCGTGGACTGGCTACAAAAAAAATCAGAAAAAGATGTTCGATTGAAAGGCTGCTGCCGTGTGAAAGTCTCCAAGCCACGAAAACTTCAATGAAGTTGTAAGGTTCCATGTCATGTTTGTCAATAAAAACAGGAATTGTTACAAATGCTTTTGCCACAGGATAACTTGAGTTTTGATTAAACAGACTTCATACAAAGCAAAAGTCGCTCGGGCGTTTTGTAGGACCTCATCACTTCTGTCAAACATGGACTCTCTCTCTCTCTCTCTCTCTCTCTCTCTCTCTCTGGCTCTCGCTCTCTTTCTTTCCTCTTGCTTTTGCTCCCAGGACGTTTCTGTCCAGCCGCTGACAAAGGATTTTCTTCCAACATGATGTCAAG